CTAGTGCGTATTTGTGTGTTCGTGCGTGAGTGCGTGCGTGCGTGAGTGCGTGCGTGCGTGCGTGCCAACCTTGTGTTCGTGCGTGAGTGCGTGCGTGCGTGAGTGCGTGAGTGCGTGCGTGCCAACCTTGTGATCGTGCGTAAGTGCGTGCGTGAGTGCGTGCGTGCATGCCAACTTTGTGTGTATTTGTGTGTTTGTGTGTGAGTGCGTGTGTGACAACCTTGTGCATGTTCGTGCGTTCGTACGCACGCGTGTCAACGTGCGTGCGTGCGTGCGTGCGTGCGTGCCAACCTTGCGTGCGTGCGTGCGTGCCAACCTTGCGTGCGTGCGTGCGTGCGTGCGTGCGTTTGTGTGTGACGTGCGTGCGTGCCAACGTCGCGCACATTCATGTGTTGTGTTGTGATGCTAGTCTTGCATTAGAAATCGTAATTGGTCTATCCGTCTAAGCGAGATAATGTGTGTGTGTGTGCGTGTGTACGTGCGTGCACAATGCAAGGCAAAACGTAGCTAATCAAACCTGTATTGTTTGCGTACGTGCCTATGTGCGTGCATCAGTGCGCGCATGAGTGCGTATATGCGTGGGTGTATTTGTGTGCGTCATGTTCACCAATTTCAGTCTTTTTCATAATATTTGTCCTAGTGAGATAATTTCGTCCCTTGTGTATTGTTCCCAAGTCGTTAAAGCTAGAACGATCTATACGCGCTTTTTCACGAATGCACGTCAAATTTTCGACTTCGCGAGTGCTAAGCTGCATGTTTAAATTGCGTCTAAATTGCAACCGGGAATAGCTAGCTAGCGTCGTCTATCAATCACTTTGGGCGGATATGTCAGTTATGGGTAAAGTTATACCTTTGGCATCCGAGATTGGCTGCGAAATTAGCTGAGACGTGAAATTCAGTACGGGTCTTGTTATGCTTTCGTTACGTCTTGCACGCGTCCACGAACAATTCCCTAGTACAGTAGTGTAGTAGTGCCTAGTAGTGTAGTAGTGTAGTAGTGCTTTCAGTAGCATTTAGTACCCAGAGCACTGCCGCATCACATGATGCAGGGATGGACGAGTACGGACAAACTTGTCGCGGAGGATCCCCCTCCGGCATCGCGCTCCCCCGATTCACGCTTCCGTGGAGGACCCCAGGAGGGGTTTATAACTATACCCGGGGGGGGTGGTGCGTTATAACCGCCCTCCCCCCTCCCGGCCGCGATTCACGGTTCCGGTGGGCGGACGCCCACCCGCCAGCGAGGGGTTTATAACTATACCCGCGGGTTATAACTCCCTCCCCCACTCTAGGGCGCGCGATTCACGGTTTCCAGTGGGGCGACCCCACCCCCAGGGAGGCCGGCTTT